AAGAAGTGTAAGCTTGACACAATGGTATAGTTAAGCGCATTAGATCCTTTTTCCATGTTTCCTGTTGATAAATTTGAAATACGTTCACTGCTATCATAATTAAATAGTCCAAAATTTTTAGCTTAAATGAACTATGGTTAAACTTGTTTCTGAGCCTATCATGTATTACATATATTTTACTTACTTAAAACAGATATTCACCAGGAGAAACTGCAGACGGCGAAGCCCTTTGCATGTACTTAGTCATAGGATATAAAAACGTTAGAAATATAGGAAAATTTTGAGAAGATGATCTTATGCCTAATTAGAATGATCGTCTGGACATCCAGACCTAGATAAAGGAAATAAACCAAAATATAGATATTCGAATTAAAATAACTAGAAGGATTTTACCAATTGTCTAACCTATTCTGCATGAATAAAGGTATAGGGAAGAAAAATAACCCAGATTTACTATACTTATGAACTTAATCGGGTGGATTGACGTTTTTTCTCACCCTTATCAAGGTAGAGCTGCATAGTTAAGTGAGTTCATGTCGGAATAACGTAACATAAAAGTTACAATAAACAAATAGTTATAAAAAATCTCATTAGAAATTTAATTACGATATATATTTTTTAATTTAATTAATACTTTAAGTTGACATCAGGTAGTCTCACTCCTTTGTTTTACTTACTCTTCATATGATGGACGAGGAAGGTATCGCGCTATTCTTTTGTAATTTTCATTTCTTAGGTGTTACTTTTGAGAATACTGAGGATTTTGAGGAGGATCTTATCTGGGGTTTGTCTTTATTTATCATAAGTCTTAACTGCTAGATAATTCGGGTGATCATGATAGCAAAACTAGTTCATCTCACCATGGTGATGATAAGGATGATTATTCTTACGACGCCAAAGAAAAATCCGAGACTTCTCTTAATGATATGCGTTCTGATGAGGCTAGAGATCGTAATGCTGATGTCTACGATGAGCAGGATATTTCCGAAGATGCAACTGGGAATCACGAAGAGGGGATTCGCCCTGACTCTGAATCTGACGAAAGGAAGGCTGGCGTAATTTCTCCCATACGCTGGGATATTGAAGATGATGAAAAAGAAAGAAAAAAGGAAGAGCCTAAGGCCAAGCCCAAAGTTGTTGAGGCAGAAATTGACAAGGCGAGTGTCTCTAGCACAGCGCCCCAGGATGTATGGCGTCCTTTGTTTAGAGATAGTCGATATTTCCTTATAAAAAGCAATAATTATGAAAATGTTCACATTGCAAAGCAGCGTGGAGTATGGTCGACAACGAAGGGCAATGAGGCTAGAATAAACAAAGCGTTTTTCGATTATGCAAATGTTATCCTTTTATTTTCCGTGCGTGAGAGCGGTAAATTCCAGGGATTTGCTCGTGTTTATGCACCTTCTGATCCTCGGCTTAAAGTAAACTGGGTTCTTCCTCAGAGGATGA